ACATATGGCCTAATTTTCCAAATTGGGCCCAAGCCTATACATGGTCTTATTCTAAGGTCCAACATCATATAATTATTAAGGCCCAAACTGTGGTCAATCTATGGCCCAATTTTCCAAATTGGGCCCAACTCTTCATATGGGCCTTACCTTAAAGCCCATTAATTATTCTAGTCCAATTACTTGACTTTAGATGACCCATTAATAACCCAATAGAAAGGCCCAACAATAAAACCAAGTGAAATTAGGGTTTTCACATAAAATGACGATTAGGATTAAGTGTTTCTCACTTAAGCCATTAAAGACTTAATCCATTAAGTCCACCATTCTTCTAAATAAGTCATATGGTGTGATTGGGCTTAATCACACAATTCCATTCCAAAGGCCCAAAAGTGGGTCCCAATAAGTCCAAGCCCATAAATCCGATATTAGGGTTTCCAACCCCATCTTAGCCCAATATGCCCAATTGATATGTCTTTTGATCAATTAAGGTTCATTAGACTCATTAAGGTTTCACTAGGCCCATTAGTCATCTGTTTGGGCTTTTAGGTCCATTAAGCTTCATTGTGCCCATTAGGGTTTATTAAGCCCATTAAGCCTTATTGGGCCCATTAGGGTTTCTTAGTCCCTTATCCAAACATCCAAACAAGTCAAAACACCATCAAAGCACACCGCCACCTGACATGGCGACCGGTGGCGGTAGGCACCACCTCACGGTGGTGGTTTTCAGTTTTCCTTTCATTATTCCAATTTGTAATTACACTTTACAATGCTAAAACTCAAATAAACACACACCTACTAACATACACATACATACGGTGGTGTATGGTGGTAGCCACCACCTCACGGTGGTGGTGGTGGTTGTTCTCAATTTTCCGGCTATACAACACTATACACACAAGTACACCAAAACAGAAACACACAAATCCACACTTCTATTTGCAAACATCCAGCCCGAAATGGCGGAAACAACGGTCAACAAGGTGATTTGTGATGACAGCCACCACCTCACGGTGGTGGCGGTGGCGCTGACCTCTCTTGTTCTTCAGCCAAGCAATACGTCGACACGGAGGGATACGATGCGAAACAACAGTCTTCAACCACCAACCTGGCGGATGGCATCGTTGGAGCTAAAGGAAACGGCGGCAACATCTTCATGGTTCGGTTACGCCTCTGGTAACCACGCCAAGAAGGCGCTTATCTTCGTCCGTCGTCGTCAAAGGGCGGCAGCAGCGGCGCACGCCAAGGCGGTTCGGAATAGCAAAAATGACTACAACAACGCCTCAGTGGTTCGTGGCGGTGTATCAGCAACGACGCTGGACGCTCCAGCGCTTCTCGGCTTCTCTACTCGTTGGAAGTGATGTCGATGGCAACAACAAGGCAGTGTGACGGCGGTTGGACCAGACGATGACAACAACGGCGCAGGCGGCTTCTATGGTGGATGCGGTTGCCAGCAATAAGAAAGTGGGATGGCGGCTGCACATATGGTCCCTAGGGTTAGGGTTACGGGACCCTTAAATACCCGATTCATATGAAATTTTTCCATAATAGAAACTATAGTCCCTCCCCATAATATTTTTTCAAACAAAGCCCATAATTTACCTTTTCAACCCTGTTATCTGAAATTCTTTTCAAATCAAACCTGAAACTTACACTTTAGCCCCTGACTCCATAAAATCCTTTCAACTTTACCCAATATTTACCATGCAACCCCCGACTTCCAACAATCTTTTCATAATAGATCCAATATTTTACTAAACGCCCCTTGACTTCTAAAAACTTCACAACATGAATCCCGAAATTACACTTTAACCCTCGGAAATCAAAATTATATCATCCGATCCTCCGAGACCAACACCCCACTAGTTATTATTGATTTTAGGGCTATTTTTTGTTCATTAATTTATTTATTTATTAAATAAATAAACGGGGTGTTACATGGCTCTTTATTGCTTCTGAATGAGTATACAAGATGAAAGAGTAAAGTGTTATTCGTTTCACAAAAGTTACCCTATCTCCTATACATACCCCTATTCATAGGAGTTAACAGAAGCACACAAAATATACATAAGGGCTAAGACACTATGATTTAAACTCTAAAGATGCCCTTATGAAATACATACAATGAATACATGAAAACAGACTTCGACACTAAACACGAAAAAAGATGCTTCGACATCTCACAACATATTTCGAACCCAACAGGTTGTACCGTTGGGGAGAGAAAAGTAGTTGTTTTAATTAAGTGTTTTCAAGTTATCATGTTATTTGTTGGCATTAGCTAGGTTTCTAGTGGTCTTGCAAATTTTCTTTATGGATGCTTTAATTTTATGAAGTGGTTGAAGGAAGCATATGGATTGTGTATGGATCTATTTTTAGAAATTCTAAGTGAAATGGATTTCGAGGACGAAATCCACTTTAAGTGGCAGAGAGTTCTAACATCTAGTTTCAAGATGTTTCTTATTTCGGGATAGCATACTTTAATTTGATCAAATAAAGGTCTCAGACTTCAAGGGATAAATTTTGAACCTTATTAGATGTTGATTATGTTGGTTAAGTGATTCAAGCCCCTGAATTATGTATTGGAGCCAAATAGGGTAAAATAGGAAAAAGTGATTTTTTTGCATTTATTAGTGAGTTAAGTTACGTATGCATTAAGTCAAAAGTAATTGAATAGAATTGTGGGGCTTGTTAATACCTTCGGGTACATATAAAGATCTTTGAAAACGGGTGTGTTTGGAATGAAGAAGTTATGATTGCTTAAAGATGTAATGAAATTTGTGAAATATGACACTATAACGTGGTAAGAAAATTACCACGACGTGGTGAGCTGTGCAACCCAAGCCTATAAGATTAGGTTTCACCCAGTATTTAAAGGCTCCATCAGAGGTCTTTTAGGCCATTCACAACCTCCATCACATTAGAGTGCTCCTTAGGAGCAAACATAACCTCCATATTATTCCCTATATATATATATATATATATATATATATATATATATATATATATATATATATATATATATATATATATATATATTCCTTTTCAAGTTTTGAGCTTTTGGTGCATTCTTGAAGGTGAAAAAAGTCTCTCTTGGTGTAAGGAAGCTTTGTTGCATCTTAAATCTAACATCTTTAACATGTTTTAGACCTTTGTAAGTATTCAAGTCCCATGCTTTATGCTTTATTCATGGTAGATCTAAGTTCTTAGCTTTGCTATGGTGCCTTCTAGTGGATTGGGTTGGAGTTTGGAAAGCTCTACGCCTAAAGGTTGAATCTTAGGGTCTTATGGACCTTTTTAACATATTGGATGGATTGTTATCTAACATTTGATGCCATGCAAGGTATTGGGTCATTTTGGTCCCAAATGTAGTTAGGGCTTAAGATCATGACTTATTAAGTAGAGGAAATGGATAAAGTTGGAAACTTTATTGATGCAGAACCTTAGTCGATCCAGATATGAGCTTTAGAGATTTGGACTTAAGGATTAGGTCTTTAATGGATTAAGTAGCTATGGCATTTCGCCACGACACGATGGATAAAGGGTCGCGAGACCCAATGCGATTGTTTTGGCCTTTAGTGACACGACATAGCTAAGGGGTCTAGCCACGTCGCGGTTGTCGGTGATGGTGGATTGTTTATCGTTAACTTTTTGACCAGTTTGACTTTTGGTCAAACGTGAAGGTTTTGAGTTATAGTTTGAGGTTTAGTTTGTTTTTGGTTTTGGCGATTCTGTAGCTTATTCCTTGGGTATGTAGAACTCTTAATTTAGGTGAGTTTTCTCACTATACTGTAGGACATTGGGTGTCATATTATGCTTGCTGTCTTTGTGACTCATGTATGTTGTCTATGCTTGCTGGGCTGTGCCTATTTATATATTTATTAGTCTGGGCCCGAATGTATGCTTATTAGGTTGGGCCCGAATGTATGCTTATTGGGATGTGCACATATATATGTATGTTGGGTTGGGCCCGCATGATTGAAACATAACTGTTAAGCTAGGCCCGTCAGTTGTATGTTATGTGGTACCGTAGGGAACTCATTAAGTTTTGTGCTTACAGTTTTAAGGTTAAATGTTCTAGGTACTTCTAATAGCAAAGAGAATGACACGACGTAATTGCTTCACATCTATGATCTTGGATATGTTTAACAATAAGTATTGTTTCATCCCTTTTGAGAATGAAATTGTATTGTTTATGGCTTATTATTATACGAAAAAATTAAGTCAAAATTTAGGAGGTTACACCGGTCCACAAATTAATTGATCATTAATTATTCCCATCACGTCATATATGAATTTGAACCCATTATTCCCTTATTTTTCTATCACATGGTGAATGATGAAAACAATTCTACGGTAGATTCATAGTAAAACTTTTACCTAGATTCATAGTAAAACTTTTACCTTTTCATCACTTCAACATGAATTTAACCCTAATAGCCTTCAACTTACCTATCAAAAATACAAGTATAAAATCGTTACTAGAATAAGCAAGGTAAGGCATTTCTTCACGATATTTATAATATACAATGATTTTCAGTTTATATATTATATTAATCTATGCGATTGAATAAATGATATGAATAAAACCATCCTACTGTATTTTGTATAGTATAACTTGAATGATGAAAAGTTGAAAACTAAATTAGTAGACCTAACATAGTTTATCCATTCTCATATTGAACAATAGTACCATAATAACAACTCATATTGAACAATAGTACCATAATAACAAAAACGCAAACATTAACCACTTAAAAACTCGAAAATAGATCATGAAGGTCATACAAAAGAATGAAAGATGTTGACAAATATAGGATAGTGTACAAAGTCATAAAATATAGCAAAACAAAATGCAAAATTAGTCAAAATCCGATTTATAATGTCAAGTTCGTGAATTATTTATTTATTTATTTATTTTTTTATGAAATTTACTAAATCATAAGGACTAATTTGCTAATTCTTGATGTTTTTAGGAATTAAGTAGTTATTTTGTAGGAGATGTAAAAATCATGATTAATTGTTGTGATCAACCATTTTCAATAGACTGAAGATGAACCTCGAAACGGTTTTGATGCTCTAATCTATTGTGCGTTTTGGTGTTTCGGCGCCAAATCCCATTTACACGCGCACGTACCTTCTATTCTTCTCCCTGTTTCTAGATAAAACCTAGGCAAAGAAAACAACAAATCGATTCCCTTTTCCCCTTTTCGATCTTCAAATCGATGCATATCTAAACAGTTTTCTCTCTCTAACTTCTTCTCTTTGATCTAGAGGGAGAAAGTGGAGAGAGAGGGAGGAAATGGCGATGGTTGATCATCAATCCAAAACCTGCGTTGTTCTCGGAGGTAGAAGCTTTGCTGGGAGATGTCTTGTTGTGAGATTATTGAAGCTAGGTAATTGGATCGTTCGAGTTGCCGGTTCCGCTCACTCCCTTCAGCTTGATCCTTCCGATCACGATTACGACTTGCCTTTGAACCGTGCTCTCTCTACTGGCCATGCTTCTTATTTCCATGTTGATGTGCGCAGCAGAAGATCCGTCATCAATGGTACTTTATAGTCTATATTTATATATGTATGGTGATTTCCTTTTGTTTCCTTCTATTTTCATTTTTATGTTTTACTTCCTTTACCATAAAATTTGCATCAGTTATTGCTAGTGAGATTTTTCCTTGAATGTATATGCGTACTTCAAGTTTCTCACAGTTTGTAGCAGAATTTCTTCCGATTCTGTCAAATCGATGTGGTGAGAAGCTCAAGAAGATTTGTGGCAAAAGTGAATGTTGTAATTAATCACATGCAATTTGGTGTAATTAATAACATGCCACTGCTTCTAATTGTAACTATAAGGTGTAACTTACTTTCACATACGTAGTTCTCTCATTTCTCGATTTAGTTTCTAGGAATTCAGTGATAGCCTATTTGGAAGGTCACATACAAAAACTTTCTTCTCCAAAGTATTGCAAATCAAAGGGGTTGGTGCAAGGGTTACCCTTAGGGAAAAGCTACTTTAAAAATTTAGATTAAAATCGGAAAACTAAGCCCATAGGACAGAGAAGAGCTGGTTTCTGTATTGGGTGAGATGCATACCAGGTGTTGGATTTTGCATTGACAATAGAACTAAATACTTACAAAATAAGAGTGGAACAATAATTTAGCCAAGGAACTGAAAGAGAAACAACAATTGAACCAAATCAGATGGCATGGCATCTCATCTAGGCACAAAACAGTGCACACACTTGTCACATTCTCTGTGTGTGTGTGTGTGTGTTTTCTTGTGGTTGTGTGGCTCCTTTTTTCAACTAGACCCATTTAACGACTCTTCACAATTAAGAGCTCATTTGTGTCCATCAAAAGTATAAACTGATGTGCCTTAGAATCATACTCAACAAGAACATGATTGATTTTCTTAGTTGAACTCATCAAAACTTTGCTTAAATTTCATCGCTAATACTTTCTCTGCATGTTTTCATCTGACTAAAAAGTCGACACACTCTAGAGAGAAAAACATACAGTGATTCCTTTTAGGTTCTTTGATGAACAATGTCTCAAATCCACAACAAAGATATCGCACTGATTCCTTTTCTCGGGAAACATCTTGTCACCCAATCCCAATTGGTTGAACAATAAAAAAAAGGGTATATGACATCCCTTGGCGCCCCACCAAGTAAGGAATTAGATAGAGTGTAGTTCATGTTAAGATTTTTTTGAAGATTGCAATTAGAGGCTAAGATGAAGGATTAGTACTTTTGCTTGCATGGGTGAGTAAGTATTTTGTTTTTTCTTTAATGTGTTCGACTCAGTTTACTCTTTTATTATGCTGGAGAGAAAGAGTGGATTGAAACCTAATCTTTTTTGGCTATTTTGTAAAGGTCCTGATAACACTGCTGTAGAAGAAGGAAATTATGTTTTCCTGCATTAAGAAAATGTGGAGTACAGTTTACAGATTATAACTAGAGTTTGTGAAAACAGTAGAGAAATACTAAAGACTAGACTAACTATGTAGTTATAACAATCCACTAGCTACCTAGTTATTCTAAGTGAGTCAACTAACAGAGGTGAATTCTAATGGGGTAGATAGAGAGACATAATGTGTTGTGATCCATTTATATATCTGCAAGTGACATGGAGTTAAAATATATTTGTTTTTTTGATGTGGAAGTCATCTCTTATTAGTGCTTTATATCTTTATCACCATAAAAGAATTAGCAAATTTTTTGGTATCTTTTCTTCTTTATAAAACTTAGTCCTCCAAATAGTGAGTTTTAGTTTGATCTTGCCTATGATTTGTATTTCTTTCCATGATTTCTCTTTAATTTTGTCATTGTATGTAGCTGATGTATTCAATATTTGTATGATGTTGGTAGTTTTGATTTCACATACCTTTTTTCAAAGGGTTACACATAAGTCAAAGAACCTTGTTTTCTATCATGGTAATTCAATGCTTGATTGAGAGCTACTTCAGAAAATGTTTTCTTTTTGCAGCTATCGAAGGTTCATCAGTTGTGTTCTACATGGATGAAGATGATTCCTGCAATCTTGATTTCTATTCTGGGTACACAGTAATTGTTCAAGGTCAATCTTATCACCCCTAAATTATTTAACCTTACATTAAGTTATTTGGAAAAATTCTCATATCTTACAAATTTTTATTTAATTTAGGTGTGAAAAACGTCATCAGTGCTTGTCGGGAACGCAAAGTTAAACGATTAATATACCAAAGTACTGCAGACGTAGTGTTGGATGGTTTGCATGATATACATAATGGAAATGAGAGACTTTTATATGCTACAAAAGTATGTGTCTCTAAATAGTTTCTCCCTTATTTGTGAAAGATTATTCCACTTCCTTCCTTCCTTCTACATATTGTGAACTTTTTTTAATAAAAAAAATTGGAAGAACAAAGTTTAATATCAACTTCATACTATTTTAAACTACAATTTTGAAGATGGGTTTGCATCATCATTGATTAGTTTATTATCATCCTGCTTTCATTTCTTATCATGGAATTCTACTTGAAAAATCTACCAAATTATTGCCACTCCATTGAAGTTCAAAGGTAACAAGGCAAGTTAAAGAAAAAAAGTTTGTAGTTTGAGTATAATGCTGCTATAAATATAATGAAACTATGTTGCTATTTCTTGCATTGATTCCATAAAATCAAAACGAAACTAGTTTTAAGATGGATTAGTTTTGTGTGTCAATGCAAAAAAGGTGGGAATTCATTATTCATTTATTCTTATGCAAAGCTTCTTAAATGATAACTTTGTTTGCTATGTGGCAGTTTAAGAACGTATATAGTGAACTTAAGGCTCAAGCAGAGGCACTTGTTTTGCATGCTAATGATATGGATGGCCTTGTTACATGTGCTCTTCGCCCTACCAATGTTTTTGGACCTGGAGACAATCACCTTTTGCCATCTTTGGTTGATGTTGCAAAATCTACTTGGGCTAAGGTGTGTGTTTAACACTGTAACTATAATCCATTTTTGCAATTTAACTATTTCATCAACATAGTACATTTGTTGTATCTTTTTTTGTCCCTATTTATCAGTCAAATCTGAAAATTTGGTGCAATAAAATCAGGGCGTGTTTGGTTTGTGGAATCTGGTGGAAATGGAATTCGAGATTCCATTCCATGGTGTGTTTGGTTGTCAAGTGGATGGAATTTAATGGAAAATTACTTCCAAAACACATTACACAAACCAAACGCCCCCTTAGTTTACTTCTAAACATGGTAATCGGAAAATACAAACATATTTGACAACAAATTTGTCTCCTAAATGTACTTTACTCTCTCTCTAACGGTTATAGTTCACATGAAAAGTAGTAGTACCATTTATTTATAATACGTTTGTTGAGAGGTTTAAGTTTTTCTGTTTTAATAAAATTGTCTTGGATATAGTTTTTATAAGTAATAAAGTCTCTCATTCCAGTTTATTATAGGAAGTGATGGAAGCATGTCTGACTACACCTATGTGGAAAATGTCGCCCATGCCCTTATCTGTGCAGAAGCTGCTTTGTGCTCTCGCATGGTTGTTGTTTCTGGAAAGGTAGATTCTAATAATAACAATGTACTTTCATTTTCATTTTTTTTTTTTTTGGCTTTTTACTTTCATGCAAATCACTTACCTTACACCTTTAGTTTATTTCATGATATAAAGTTATCCAATTTTTCTTAGGTATTTTTCATCACTAATCTTGAGCCAATGGGCTCTTGGGAATTTTCCTTACGTATACTGGAGGGGTTAGGTTATTTCAGGTAATAAATGCATCATTTCCAGTTAATAAATTCGGTTGTACATTATATGATTATAAAATGGCTAAATGTAAGACATAGCAACATATGTTCGTTTGTTCTAATATTGTAGCATCCTATGTCCATTTAATTTATACATCAATGCACTTTTTTTTCTTCTTATTATGGCATTGTACTTTGAAATTTTTTATCAATTGTAGTATTATACTTTCACATTTTTTTCTCGTTTGGAGATTATACTTTGAAATTGGAAGGAAAATATAAATGAGGGCAGATTTGTAAAAAGTTAGGGCTTAGTGGGAAAAGCCTCATTTCCCTGACTTTTTCTCTATAAAGTCATTCTTTCAGCATTAAGCGAAAAAAGAAACACTCATATATAGCTTACAGAATTAAGTTCTTTTCTCATCAAGTTAAAAAGAAACAACACTATAGTTTCACATAAATTATCTTAATCATGTAAGCTAAGCAATTGGTATTACTTTCTTATTTCTAATCAAATGTCATAAGAGAAAAGGAGCTCTCTTTCTTTTCATTCCAAGCATTTTTCCTTTTTTTTGCGATTTTGTTAATTGTATATTTAGTTTCTAGAAATAACTAGTTTGCTGTTACACCTTATTATAATCTTCAAGCTTTAATGATTTTTTTCTAATGTTTAATTTTATATTTAAGTAAACAAAAGATCCATTTGTCATAATTAAAGAATATATAGAATAGAGTTAAAAGTTAAAACTATACACTGTATTTAGAAACAACATAAAAAAATTCATTCCCATCTTATAAACCAACCAAACATATTTATCAAATGTAATAACTTATACATTACTTATGATGTGTTGAGTGTTGACTCTCTTCATGCTTTTTATTTTAAATCACTTTTTCTGATTAGTTATCATGTGTAGTGGAACTCAATGAACATTCTACTTTTTTTTAAATAAATTGCAGGCCAATGGTCAAACTTCCTCCTGTGGTTGTCAATTTGATTGTTTATCTCATTAAATGGATGCATTCAAATACAAACTCAAGAAACATAAGTAAATCTGTCTCAGTTCACAATGTTGTCCAATTAATGTCACACACTACAACCTTCGATTGCTCTGCAGCCCAACAACACCTTGAATACTCACCTGTTATCTCACTGGATGTAAGTTTTCTGATTTTGTAGTGTGTTAATTTTCTAAATTCTAAATTCTTTCCAAAATGTTTATTTGGATTTTATAGTTTTTTTTCTATTAATTGTTAATGTACAGGAAGGTATCACATCAACCATTGAATCATTCTCCCATTTAGCAAAAGGCTCAGCTTCCACAATTTATGATGTACTTAATGAACAATCAAAAATGGAGGAACTACTAGGTGGTGGGGAAGGTAAATGGCAATATTCATACATTTTTATAAATAGTTTAAAAAGATCATAAATCTAGTTTTTCATAATTTGAAGTCTGTTTATTTTGTGAAAATCTATACAATGTTTTCTTAATGGAACATCTATCAAAAGCGAGTTTCCATTCTTTTGCAAGAAGACTACAATCCGTGTTTGATTTACATGAGAAAGAGAATTACATGTTTTTGGTGTGGTCTTTAATTATACTTTGGGAATAATCTACTATTCTATGTAAAACATATAGAAACATAATAAGAATCTTAATCTCTATGTTTTGAGCAAAAAAAGAATATTACTTTTTTTTTTATTTTATTATTATTTTTTTTATATATGAATAATTTAACTTCCCTTTGTTTTGTCATGGATGCAGTTGCAGCGATTTTGTTATGGAGAGATGAGAGGAAATCATTCGTATGCTTTTGTGGAGTGGTTTCTGTGTTCTACTGGTTTTTTCTTTCTGAAAGAACAATTGTCTCATCTATTGCTCTGATGCTATTGGTTATCACAATTTTTCTATATGGACATGCTTCATTCTCTGATGCAAATCCCCAAATGTCTACTCAACTGTAAGTAGTAACCTTCCCCAATTTTTTTACCATTAAACACCCACTTCTTTTATTTTTAGGCATTTCCATATTTCCTAAATTTTTCTGCAACTTGGGTTCCTACAGTTCTAGGTATTTACATTTTGAGGTCTCTGAAACTGGTATGAAGAGTTGTGTGAAAGTTATAGCAAACATTTGGAATGAAGTAGGTCGTGTTACTAGATCATTGGCACAAGGAAAAGACTGGAATTTGTTTTCAAAGGTAACTTACTATATTTTAAGATACTTTCATTTATTTGTGTATTAAACCATTCTACTTTCATTTCTTATACTCAACTGGTGTAGGTAGTAGCTTCGCTTTATCTTTTCAAGTTGCTTATTGTCAACTCTTTCCCCAACTCATTGGGAGTAGGTATGCATCTAATCATATCTTATCTTTTTATTTCGATTCCTCAACTGTTGTAAAAGTAAGAAACGAGAGTAGTATGCTATAATAAACAAAAAAAATTTATATTTATTCTTTAATCTTTTTATGTAACCTCAATGCAGCGTTGGCTTTTTCGTTTATTATGTTCTTTGTTTACGAGCAATACGAAGAGGAAATTGATGGCATAATAGGGATTTTAGTGGAGCTTGTGAGACAGTTAATGGTATTTGTGATGAGTCATCTACCCTTGATATCTGCTCTACATAAAACCACCACTAGATCTTCAATGAGATAAATGTATTAGATATCTGTTCTTTCAAATTATCCAAAGTTTGGAAGATTATGAGATATTTTAGCAACAAATAATCATTCTGTAGACCTTTTTTTTTTTCTTCAAGTTTCTTGCAAATATGAGAATTGTGTTGGATTGAACTGGTTGGATAACATGATAGGTTAAAAGTTCTGACTAAACTTGACTTTGCATGACCATTGTTTTCTTTGAATTTCATATATTGTCTGAATATTTTGTTTTGTCTTGCTTACTCGTGCATTTCCCCCCTTAAATTGAACTTATTTGTCAGAACTTGATTTTGCATATAAGAGGTACATGAAGCTAAATGGCTTAGTGAATTTATGTGTTGTATAAACATACTATACAAATACACATGATACATGATGAGATTTTCATTTTATCAAATTGGGTTATATCATCCATTTGTATCCGACATTGAAACTATAAACTAACTAATAGTAACATACTTTTTTTTAGCTATAACATTATTCTCTCATTTTAGGTTATGCAGCTTCCTTAAATTACCAAGGTAAACTTTTGAATATTTGGGGTGCTGATGTTAAATATATGTATCATAAGTACGTTTTTATGTTAGTGTGTTACTCATGATTTTTGCAACCCTACTGTAGATACAAAAGAATACGACTATACGAGAGATGAAGAGAAAACTATAATCGTCTTTTATTTATTGTACTGATCTAACACAAAAAGAAAAGGGAGAAAATAATATAAATACACGGGGCCAGTCTGAAGTCGGCTATAATTAAATTCGAATGAAACCCGACAATATAGAGAAGACCGCTTTTAGAACACATGACCGACACTAAGAATATTTAGTGATGTCGTTCCGTCTAACAAACGTGCCCTTGGCATTCCAAACGGTTATGAACTACGTTTTTAGACATTTATTACGCATGAAAGTAGTGATTATTTTTGACCATATATTGATTTATATTGCTACATGGACCACCCATATGGAGGACTTGAAGTTGGTACCGGAGATTTTAGATGTATTTGAGAGTGTTTTTTAAAATGATTTATTGACTTATTGGTTTTTCAAAAAGTCAATAAATTAAAAAGTTGTTAGGTAAACACCAACTTTCAGTGAAAAAATTGATTTTTTCAAAAGGCCACAAATTTTTGGTTTTCTAAAAAACCAATAAAGAGTTTGAGAAACAATCCCAAACACGCCCTTAATAGTCATAACCGTTTTAGGCAATCTTGTCGAGCACGATGTAGTCAAGCCAAGTCTATCTTCCTCAAAACTATTAATTAAACAATGGGTTAGGGGTGAGCAAAAGGACCGAACCGGACCGGAACCGGGAACCGGCTTCGGCCAAAATCAAGAACCGAACCGGCCCGACGGTTCTAGGAATGGCAATGGGGCGGGTTCGGGGTGGGGCGGCATATCCCATACCCGAACCCGATATTTATATTTGTCCCCGAACCCGATCCGAAACCCGACGGGTTTCTTATCGGGGCGCCCCGTCGGGGCTAAAAATATCCCCGAACCCGACCCGAAACCCGAAACCCGATATAGACCCGAAACCCGACCCGAAAATGGTGGCAGAAAAAATTAGGAAAACTACAATGAAACAATTGAGAAATTAAAACCTTACAAATGCTTAAAATACAAATAAGTTCTTAACATAAGTGAACCAAATAAAAATTATTAAAGTCTAATATCGTAACTAAATTCATCACAATAGTGAGAAATTGGGAATACGTGATGGGATTGAAGGTTAGAGTCTTCGGGTGGCTGAAATGGGTTAGAGGGATGAAATCTCATTTTATATATATATATATATATATATATATATATATATATATATATAATTTTTCGGGTCGGGGCGGGTCGGGGCATGCATACCCCACTCCCTGACCCGAACCCGAACTAAAAACCCGATAATGACTCGAAACCCGACCCGAAACCCGATAAGAGTGACCCGACCCGCCCCAAAATCTTCGGGGTTCGGGTTTTCTTGTCGGGTTCGGGTTTTTTTGCCATCCCTAGACGGTTCTATCGATTCCGGTTCTACCGGTTCTTGTCGTGTCTTCAAATGTTGGAACCGGTCCTTGAAAAATAGCATCATACGGTTCCGGTTTTTTCCGGTTCGACCGGTTCCGGTTATATCGGTTCCGGTTCCTACCGGTTCCCGGTTTCAAAAATCCACAAAAATAACGTCCCGGTCCCGGCCCGACCGGTTCCGGCCGGTTCCCCGGTCCATTTGCTCATCCCTACAATGGGTAAACAAAAAACTTAGTGAACATATACCTTACTCACCAATTATATCGACCATTTACCACATTTAACACTTAATACATATATCATATAACATTGATAGAACACACAAGTTCCAAGCACATTGTTGGTACCAACCACATTTGTTCCTCCATCCGAGACACCCCCCCCCCCCCCCCCCCCCCGAGAGTAAGAGGTAAGAGCAAAACTTGTCCCACCACTTAGGAACAAGGTTACATTTTATTCATTGCCCACTCTACCCCGAAGGATATCCATGAGCAATAACACACATAAATAAGTAAATTAGTGGCAGTCTAGAAACTTTTGCAAGTGGTAGCACGAAACAAATCCCGATAAAAGATAGAAGGTTCTAGTCTTGCTGGAGACAAAATGTGTAGATTTAGGAGTAGGATAGTGTGTGTGTGTGTGTTAGCCATTCTAAAAAAAAGGATAGTAAGATAATTTTTTTAATTATGATTTCATTAAATATAGTAAACTAGCGTAAAAGTCTTGTATCTAAAAGTTGACCTCTTCATTTACCCATTTTTCGAAAATGCTCTATCACTTGTTTAATCTTAACATCCATAAGCGCTTCTTTTTCTACACCCAAAATCAAATCATCACCTATTTTATTACACAAGTCAGTATTCAAGAGCTTCATTGCAGAAAAACATATTTTAACGGTTGCAATTGCAATGGGCAAAACCAAAGTCAACTTTAATAACCTAAACTAACGGAAAATAACGAAGTTTCCCAGTTTCCACCATCAAACAAGAAAGGTTCGCAATGCCCTTCAAATTAGCAAATCTCTCATCTTAGGTTTCAAGTTTACCATCAAGATACACCCTCTGCGAATCATTAAAATCCGTTTTGTACAACTCACTTAGCTTCACCAACTTTGATTTGTCAAACATAGAAAATGAGTTACAAGGACCCAAATCCACCATGTATTCTAACAAATCGGTGCTCACTTCACTAAAACAGTCCATGAATTCTTGAATTTGTTCCAAAACAGTGTTCAAAATATCAACTTCAAAGTGATGTTGATTAGTAACATAAAATTTGGGCATTTCCACAGTTTTAATTTTATGTTTATGTAAAAAAGAAAATTCCTTTCTCCAACATTGAAGGAAACCCATTATTTCGTAAAGATTTCAACGTTTTCATCATCACTTTCACCAAAGAAGTCGCTTCTAAAATATTATGATCATTTCTTTGAAGATGTATTGACAAAGTATCCGTGAGTCCAAAAATCCCCAACATCAAGTGTAAATAAAACACAAAATCAAGTGTCTTGAAATACGACAAAATACCATACGCTTGATTTCAGTTATGTAAACTAGATCACTCCTTAACATAAATAAGAACCCTGACAACCTCCAGAAACAAGTTCTTCAATTTTTTTTTAATAATGTGAGCCTCATCTTGTATCTCCAACTCTAATGAGAGAAGTCTCTTGATTTAACCCTGTCCTAGTATCAATTTCACCATTACCAATTTCTCCTTTAACCCTTTCCTTGTAACTATCATGTATGATATGTTTTCTTTTATAAGAAGCACGCACCACATTAACCACCAAAGCTAATTGTTTAAAAAAATCATAAGCACCATCGTGGTTTTTTTTTTCTACATTCGGTTTCCTTTTTATTTTTTCCAGGGGAACTCTACAAATTCACAAACATTTATCGAATTCCAACCTAGTTTCTTATGGGTTTTCTTGGTTACAATAATCAAATTTACATAATGGATTCATATGCATATTATGGGTACATAAAACCTAGAAGTCTATGACATTTTCTCAAGTTATAGTGAAATTTGTCTTGTAAAAAGTATTTCCGAAGAAATGTATTTCATTGGTAATTAAAACTTTGGGATGTCATAACAGATACAAGAAACATAAGTATAAAAGTAATCATTACTGGCCTTATAATATCTAATGGCCTACATTTCCTTTAATCTCTCATCAGATTCGAACATCGTTATCTTTGTACTGCTTCCTATGACACAAAGAAACTAAGTGGGTCAGGTTGGGAAACTTGATGAGTACATAGGGTTTTCAACCCACAATAATATAGTTAATTTGTGTATCTATTTCATATCAAATAATTAACCCGATTACCCATTTCCATTATCTTCTTTATTCATTTATAGGGACCTATCTTAAGGAACATCATTGTAATTATTGTGGTTTCCATATATATTCTATTCGATGACTACATCCTTTGTACACTAGTACCATTTCTACATCGCCAATACAATAGTACTAGTTCCTACATCGTTAGTATAATAGTACCAATCCCTACATCGTTAGTACAATAATACTAGTTCTTACATTGTTAGCACAATAGTACTATTAAAGTCGCGACACCCTATCATCATTTTCATCTCTCATCTCATCGTACTATGACATCTTATCATTTTTACCATTCATTCCCCAATGTATTATATTCATAAAGTACATCTACGGTATAAATCATATAAACTTTATCTTTATAATATTTCATCTAACACATAACATATTTGCACATAAGCACATATAGCATTCAATTATCTAAATACTTCATATCTATGTGTAAGATGAAAGTAACTATGCACTCACTTGATAAAAGTGGATGCCATGGAGTTTGGGAAGAACTTCGCCTTAGTACTTTAGCTTTTCCTCTGACGTGACCTAAGTTCATATCACTAAGTCTTAGTCTTATATTCCTGACGACTAATGATAGTCTACATTAAGATCTATCAAGTAAGGAATAACCACGTAGGATCATATCGGAGGTATGGTCCATTTGGTATACTAAGTATACTATTTAGAAATCCCACTTTAAACACCTCACTAAATCTAGCATAAAAATTAATCATGTAAGTATAACAATCAGTATAATGACTTGGAATTACTAATAAATCTTATTTATGAATTCACAACGACGATTATGAATCTAAATATAAATTACACTGAAAGCGAAATAAGCATAGCTTAACTTACAG